AGGACATGGAACTAGGGATATCATTGTCGACATCAGATGGATCTAGTCTGAAAGCAGAGAATACAAGAAAAATGCTTACTTGTGCTTTACTGACTATGTAAAGGCTTTCGACTGTGTGGAGCATGACAAGCTATGAATAACATTTGGAATAATGGCAATCCAGAACACTTAGTTGTTCTCATGAGGAACTGAGGGGCAGTCATTTGAACAAAACAAGGGAATGTTTTAAAATTAGGAAAGGTGTGCACCAGGGTTGTATCCTTTCATCACACTTATTTGGTAAGTACACTAAGCAAATGATCCAAGAAGCTGGATTATATGAAGAACAACACAGCATCAGTATTGGAGAAAGATTGATTAACAACCTGTGATAAGCAGATGATACAAACTTGCTTGCTGGAAGCAAAGACGAATTAAAATACTTTACTGATAAAGACCAAAAACCCTTCAGTATGGATTGTACCTCAATATAAATAAAATGAAAATCTTCACAACTACACCAATAAATAACATTATCATAAATGAAGAAAAGATTGAGGTTGTCAAAGATTTGTTTTTCTTGAATCCACTATCAATACTTATGGAAGCAGCAGCCAAGGAAACAAATGACATATTGCATTAAGCAAATCTGCTGCACAGGATCTCTTTAAAGTATTCAAAAGCAAAGATGTCAGTTTGAGGACTAAGGTGTGCCTGACTCAAGTCATGGTATTTTCAATCATTTAATATGCATGTGAATGATTGGCAATGAATATGGAAGAACTTAGAAGAATTGATACATTGGAATTATGGCTTTGGTGAAAAAAAATTGAAAATACATGGACTTCTAAAAGAATAAACCATTCTGTCTTGGGAGAATTCCAGCCAGAATGCTCATTAGAAGCCAGGATGGTAAGAATCTTTCTCATATACTTTGGACAGGTTATCAGAAGGAATTAGTCCCTAGGGAAGGACATCATCCTTGCTAAAGTGAAGGATCAGCGAAAAAGAAGAAAGCCCCCAAGAGATGGACTGACACAGTGGCAGCAGCAATGGGCTCAAACGTACCAATGGTGAGGAGGGCACAGGATCAGGCAGCGTTTCGTTCTGTTGTGCATAGGAACCATCTCGATGGCGCCTAACAACCGCAATGTCTACGATATCAACCTTTATGTGGTTCATTTCATTTTTGAAGACTTCCAGTTTTCATAGTTTTGTACTTGTTACATTGAGCATTCTGATTATTGATGGATATTTGCATTTTGAGTTGTGCCACATGAGCAAATGAAGGTTCTGAAAGCTTTATTCCGTCCCTGTCATTAAGGTTGACTACTTTAAGAAGGCAGCTCTTCTCCAGTTGTATTTTGAGTGCCTTCAGACCTGAGGGGTTCCTCTTCCGTCACTACATCCGACAATGTTCTGCTGTTATTAATAGTACCACACCTAACACAATACCTAGCACCTAGGAGGACTCAAAACTGCACTGTGGGCCAATTTTTCCAAAAGTGGATGGCCAGCTCCTTCTTCCCAGTCTGTCTCTGTCTGGAAGCACCACTGAAACCTGTCCACCACGGGAGAACTTGCTGGTATTTGCAGTACTGGTGGCAATGCCTTCAGCATCACAGCAATACACAAGCTAACACAATATGCTGAACTGACAGGCGTGGGGGAAGGAGATCTGGTTTATAATTAACTTTGGGATCTCTGGGAGCAGTCATCGGGTTTACTTTATCTTCACAAATACATTGAGAGACATACATATAAAACATATATACAACTTATACAAAACATCTTTTTCTGATAAGTAACGTATACATATTCATTCGACAATGTAAATATATATAACGTTATTAAGAGCCTAAAGGATGAGTATATGTCAAGCTATGTGCTGGGTGCTGGGGATTCAAAATTGAAAAACACACACTCCCTCTCCTTACAGAGCTTATAGTCCCGGCAGATAAAACAGAAAAAGCAGTTGCCTGAAGGCTAAGAAAAACTGCATGTGAGCTTGCTATCACATTACATGATCACGTAACAGAAATGGAGAGCAGCAGAGGAGCAGAGTCGGGGAGACCAAGCATACCTGAAAACAAGTGGCTGATGGAGGTACAGGAGCTACTATGGGGGAAAGGACAAAGGAAGGGAACAGTGTTCCAGAGAGAGAACAATATGTGGAGAGTCCGAAAGGTAAGACAATAGGGGCATGTGAGGAGGGTGTGTTGGGAGCGAGGGAGACTGTGGCAGCTGTTAAGGTAACATATAAAGCTAACCTGGACTAGGGAAGAAGCGGTGAAGATGGAGAGAAGGGGCTGGGTTCGAGAGGTACTTAAACCCATACCACTTTTCATCAAGTTGATTTTAACTCAGGGTGCTCTTGGGTCTTGTTCTAACTGATTAGAGGCAGAGCGTGAATGAGAGACTTAAGTCTCTAGGGTGGGGCTACTAGGGCAATGGCGGTACTATTCGTCAAGCTGAAGGTCACTGAAAGAGGAGAGAAGATGTGTAGGAGACATGAGTTCAGCTGCAGTATGTTGAGCCTTAGTTGCTCATGGGAAATTCAAGTCAACCAATTGTCAAAACAGGTCTGGAGCTTAGGAGAAAGAGCTGGACTAGAGGTACAGATTTTACCTTTTCTATTTCATCTTCCCTAACTGTGTCCTATGCTGTTGCTGTTGTTAAGTGCCATCAAGTCAGTTGACTCACAGTGACCTTGTATAGAGTTTTTAAGGAGCAGATGGTGGGTTTGAACCACCGACCTTGTAGTTAGTAGTCAATGTTGATCCTACAGTGTCATTCCAAGACTCCACTATATTCTATATTCAGTGTTAATTCAACTAACATTTACTACACCTCCTGCTAGGTGCCAGGCACTGTGTTAGGTGTGGGATTTGATGCAAAGGAAAACAAACAAACAAAATAAAACAAAACTTTAAAAAACCGTTTGACTCGTTCTTTACAATGAACTGACACTTTTTGTTTTGATTTTGCCCAATTTTTACATGCAGCTTACTAATTAAAAGTCTTAAGAAAGTATCTAGGGCTGATTGTTATAATTCCCAGTATGCACAGAGCAATGCAATAAAATGAACAAGGTTTGGAGCATCAATAATACTTTGGTTTAATTTAAAAACCCATGTATCCATTACACATCTACGTCATTTCTTCAGGGAGCTGCCTTGCTCCTCATAAGTGCATTAGGCAGCCTTAGACTGACGAAAACCCCAGCTATTCCCAACAGATCATTTTACTGTGAATGACAGGAGTCACTTTAAGATGGCCAATTTTTTCTCTCCTCCCCACCCCTCCAATGGTCATTTTGTGAAAGACATTGCACTTGGAAGCATAATCTTTTTATAGGGAAATGTCCCTATAAAGTTTCATATTGAGAGAGAGTAACACAGGAGCGTCCTTATACAAAAAGGATACAACAGTAAGAATGAACTGCTGCTGTTTAGACGTCAAACTGGGTTTTCACATGACCACACACTCAGAAAAATGTATTGGCTAAAAAGAATATAATAGAAATAAGTACCTTTTGAAAAATGTTTACATGCTTGAAAGAAAGAGTATCCAACTCCCACTGCAGAAAGAAAATGTAATGCCATTAAATAAAAGCTTCAGAATGAAAAAATGAAGTGAAACAAAACAAGATGCACTTTTAGTGATGAATGACTTGAATGGGTCTTAGTGTCCTCAAAGCCCTGTTCCTTAATCCCAGGCGTCCAACTTCAGGAATCTCCTTTTGAGAAGCTCAGTGTTTACAGGACAATGGAAAGCAAGAAGCCTTAAAAGTTCCTCTTACTGAGCACCTCCTGAGCACCTCCTTCCAGTCTACAACGTTTTCATGCTATCTTCACAACACCACTTTGAAGTAAGTAGATCTTATCATTCCCATTTTACAGACCAGGAAGCTGGGGCTCAGAAAGGTTACACGAATTGCTTAAAGTTGTACAACCAGCAGATGCTCTTCTTCTGCTTTTGAGTATCCACCTATTCATTTTATTCTCATAGTTGATGGGTTTTATCCCTTTATTGGGTTTTTTTATGTGTTTTTATTTGTATCTTCTTAATTGACATTATTCATTTACGCCATTGTTTATATTTTTATCTGTGAGTATATGTTTACCTGTAATAAATATTCTTTGTAAATATTTTGTCATCTTAGCCTAGATAGCTGCTTCCTTCCATCACCTGATCCACGTTGGGGACGAGAGATCAGTATATTTTATGCTACTTAGAGTTGCCCGATTCAAGTCTTCTCTGAATTTCTAAGAATTTACTCTACGTTAATCGAGAGATTATGGAGACAGGATTTAGACTGCATTGAGCCCAAATTATCCTCACCTGAGAGACCTCAAAAGCTCTAGGGGACTGCTAGAGAAATTGGGACATCTTAATTGCAAAGTAGCTCAACACCATTATGAGGAATTTATTTTTCCTATAAGACTTAGAAAGGAAATGGGCATTATTTGGTTGAAACGAATCTAGAGATTAAGACTAGAAAATGAGCTCTACAAAAGTTAATTGTCAATAAAACTATTGTTTGCCTGGACCCATTTAGGAAAGACCATTAGTTCTATTATCTAAACCATCACGGACCGGAAGCTTGAAGACCGTGTAATAGTTAATTCAGATAAGTACAAAATATGTGTGTTGTGTGTGTGTTGACACCAGTTTCATACGCTTTCTTCTACCTGATGAAGGAAAGTGTGAGTTTGATGTTTGATATTTCAAAGACTGGATAAATTTTCATATTTATTTGCAAGGGTGGAATATTTGGTCCCGAGATTATTGTCAGTCAACCTGTCCTACAAACTGTAGCTACTACATTATATGACAGGACTCTATTATCAACCATGACTCCTGCCTTGTGCCATATAATTTAAACAGAATCAAAGATGCATAGAGAAAATTTCCATTTGTCAGAATTTCAGAATAAATTCAGTATGTGCATCCAAGGAAACAAAACAACAAATAACAGGAAAGTATGAAAGAGAGAAGATGGATGTAAGGTATTTTACCATGTTTAGGTGAAAATAATGGTACTCTAGATCTGATCAAATGTTCTGTCCCAGATATCACAAATTGGATTGGCCTCATGCGCTTATCTGCCAGGTTCCTGAAACCAGCCTGCTGGCTCGCGAATACACTTCGAATGTTTTCTAGCTTCACTTGTATAGTCTTCATTTGAATCTGAAAGTTATATAAGAATTCAGTGAAACAGTCCTGGAAATGAGGTCATTACAAATTCTATTCTAGTTCTCAGAGGGTCCAAAAATTAGTCTAGAATTTCAAATACAACTAGAAGAATTTTTTAAAGTGACGTAAAAGAGATCAACATCTTATCTCCACATGGTTACCAACGCAGAAGTGAAGATCTCAACCAAAACAAACCAGGGAGGAACTATCATTCAGTGATGAAACTGGCTATTGCATAAACTGATTTATTCTTCATGGGCTGGAAGGGATAACAACTGGAAGAGACGACATTTTGCACTTTCTTGTTTGGTATGGCAAAGTCACCAGGTTACAAAAACATTGATATGAATAACATCATCAATAGTAGTTGGAGCTTGCAAGGCACCCTCTTTCTAGTTTTCCATGATGTAACAGGGAGGAAATCCAATGGATGGGTTAAGCTTGATTTCCTCCAGACAACAGCTTGGTCATTCCCACAGCCACGTTTTGGATTTGCTAGCTAGGGCATCCTCTATTTTCGGCAGGTAAGTATAGTACCTCGCCAATCTGACTCTGCTGCATTCTTTAGCAGCAAATAATGTTACCAATATTCTTACCTGGAGAGAGTTCTTCATATCCCCTCCAAGGGGGTAGGACTGAACTCACCTATAGCTCTCCACCCTGCTAACACTAACTTCCACTTGCTCCTCTCTTCTGCAAGAAGACCAAGATTCTTTCTTTATTCTCAAAATTCAGTGGCATTTTATTCTCCAGCTGAGTGGGAGAACCAGATTTGCAGCAAGGGAGTGTTGGTGGTCACTGCAGCATAAAGGGAGGATGTTTGGGGTAGAGTGGTCTTGAGATGGGCCCAGCATTCGCTTCGGGCCGCTTTGGACCTTTCTCCAAAGAGGCACAAGAAAATATGCCTGAGAGTTCCCAGTATGTGACAAGAGTTTAAAGATAATGGAACCAGAGCTCAAAATGGAAACTGCTCTGTTTTACACAGCAAAAATAAACCTATGGGATCTTACCAGTGGCACCAGTATAACCTTACACCCTTAAAAGAACTAGGGAATTGCACTCTGACATAAAATTAGCTGTAAAGTAACGAAACTCTTACCTGTCCAACTGCAATTACAATCTATTTAATTTTTAAACATGCTATATATTTATAATTATAATCTGCTAAATTAATTTACCCTTTTTTAAAAATCCTCCTAACTTACAAAGTTCAGAAGGATTGAGAAAGAAGGAAGAATGGAAACAAAATACATAGGGAGGAAGTCATGTTTCACAGAGGGGATTGAATTCATTGAGATGAAACAAAGCATATGATTTGTTGAATGAAAAACTGAAGATCCACTCTATAAACTCCCACTCAATTCACAGTTAAAAAAAAAAAAATCTCCTACCTTGAGTTCAGGTGATAAAATGATATCAAATTCATACTGTAAGGTTTCAGGATCATAATTTATAAAGGGCAGGGCCATCTCAAGAAAATTCTGGATGTCTTGGAATGCTTTCTGAGCATCTGCTTTAGAGTGAAACTTGTCTATTTCCTGATTCACCAGAAGACATTCTCCTTCATCACAGCACTGGCGAGCCTGGGGAGGCAATCAAGGGGAAAAGAGGCACACACAAATGAATTAAGAGGAAATAAATTTGTTCACGAAGATAATGGTTACCAACCCTGATTTCTGTGAGCCAGCATCACTCTCAGAGCTCTGAAAACATAAAGACATCTAGGTTCTGCCCCCAGAAATTCTGATCCAGTCATACTGGGCTGGAAACCAGGCATAGGTATTTCTCGTGCACAGCCAAGGTTGGGGCCCGTAACATTCATTTTAAAACAAGTAACTCATTCTGCCCCAGGATTCTGTCCATTTCCTCCACACTGACACTTTTAAGTACATGAGATTCTTCTAAAATCAGTAACTGCAATATGAAACTCCTAGCAAAATACAAAGTGTAACAAAATGCTTAATGATTGCTGAGGATAAGAATAACGCTTTCTTGCCAGAGAAGGAGATGCCTAGATGAAAATGTACATGTTTAGATCTGACCTGTGTAACTGACACCTTATTTTACCTTTCAGTGCCAAGACCACATCTTCTGGATAACTTTCTATTCACCACCTACTCATTAAAGCAGGTGCTAGACCACAAGCCAAGGGGGAATACTCTCAAGTCAATATTTACATGCTTATTGCTATACTATGAAACATAAAAGGAATTTCAGTCCTCAGAGAAATGTCCCCTGGGAGTTTGAAAAGAGTTATGAGTGTAAGCTGTCACCAGAGATACCTCCCAAATAGAAAGGAAGCCATCATCATCCCATCCTAATCTTCAGAACAGAAGCTTTGGTTCTTGCATTCCTGGAGATTCCATATTATACAGCTTACATGACCATCATGAGATGCAGCCCTTCAGGTCTCTGATAAATTCAAATCCAAAGCTCTATCAGACCCTGACCCTGTAACCTCAGAGGCAGTGAAAGGGGTACCATGTGCCAGGTAGGGAGAACCCAGGATTTAAAAAAACTCTCCGTCATTCTGTAGAGATGGACATTACACACTATGTCCCATGAGAATACCTGCTGCAGGAGTTTATGCATTTTGAAGGTCCTGCTGAGTTGTACTCGTTTTGCTTTGATCTCATTCACCAAAATATCAGTAAGGTAACGCAGTTCATTGCATCTCTGGCAGATCAAATCAATTGCGTAGTGGTGATTGGATGCAAGCCTGTGACCATGGAGTATCACAAACCGAGTCTTTGTTAACAGATCCTGATTTTTAAGAGAAAAGGAAAATAATGACTCTGTGAACTCTATTTGTATGAGGGGTGGGGGAAGAGAATAAGAAGCAGACTGGTTTAGTGATTTGATGTCATAATTCTACTAAGGCACAACAATTCACTACTACAGCGATGACATCCAAAACGCATACAGAACAGAAAATTGAACCATCCCACCCAGAATGGGGGTGAGATTTCTTTCTCCTGATTTGCATGGATTTGGAACCAAATTGCCTATGCTGTGAAGCCTGTGAGAACTGGAATTCAATGGGATGGCCTTGGTTTTCCAGGTCTGGCAATTTTTCGCCTTTGACAGGTAGAGTCTTCCCACTTTTCTATGGCTCTCTATTAGAAAATATTTGCGTTGCTCTTCTCTGACAGGCTTCTGCCTTAGAACTCGTCCCAGCGTTCACAGGTTTGACTTTATCAAACAAAAGCTAATGTGACCCACGTCGCCCAGGTCTTGGAAGTGTTATTAGCACCATCGTCATTCCCCTACTTTACATACTGGACGTGAACTTCGCAGAGTTTCCTAGCTGAAAGGCATCTGAGCAACCTTGCCCCGATCCTGGTAAAAAACCAAACTACTGCCAGCGAGCTGATTCTGGCTCATAGTGACCCTACAGCTCCACAGGGTTCTGAGACTGGAAATCGTCACGGGGGCAGACTTCATCATATTTCTCCCAGAGTGCCTAATGGGTTTGAACCACCGACCTTGTGGTCTGCAGCCCAACGCTTAACCCACGGTGCTACTAGGTCACCTGGAAACATGGCAAGAGCTCAGGAAATGCTTGTCAAGGGAAAAGAATGAAAAGGGACGCTCCTAATGACAACATATGCAGCCCAGCTCAGCTGGTGGGAAAGCCAGCCTTAAAATCAAAGCCCTGGGCTTCCAGACCACTTTGTTTCTCTTTTTACTGTGCCACTGTTGGTGCTGTCAAGTGCCATTGAATCATTCTGACTTGTAGTGACCCTGTGCAGGCTTTCCAAGGAGCAGCTGGTGTGTTTGAACCACCAACCTGTGGTCAGCAGTCCAGCGCTTATCCTACAGCACCACACCAGGACACCTTCTGTCCCATTATTGTTGCTGTTGTTAAGTGCTGTGGAGTCGATTCCAAGTTACAGCAACCCTGTAGAGGATTTCCAAAGAGCAGCTGGTGGATTTGAACTGCCAACCTTGTGGTTGAACAGTTCAGTACTTATCCTAACGTGCCACACCAGGAGTCTAAATAATACTCCCAGTCGACCCCGAAATCGCAGGAAAGTACCAGCCACATGCCCTACAGTTTCCCACTTTACTACTAGCTGAGCTATCGAAAGGCTACGTAAATTGTCCTACAATCACAGAGCTCTCCAAGGATAATTCCAGAACTGATCACTGCAGATACTGCCTCTCAGTTTGGGCTCTTAGATGCTGATGATTCAGAAAGCTGTTTGTTGAGAATATAGCTTTAAAAGCCGGGCATTACTCCCCCCATACAAGCCAGAAAAGCAACGTTGGAGCTTGGTATTAAAGCCTGAATCCATGCTTTCAGACTAGCAGGAATAGTAGCAGCTGCCAAATCAGGCTGTGAACCGCAAGGTCAGCAGTTTGAAACTACCAGCTGTTCTGCAGGAGAAAGATGAGGCTTTCCGTTCCCATAAAGATTTACAGCCTCGGAAACTCCCTACAGAGTTGCTATGAGTTGGAACCGACACCACGGCACATAACAACAATAACAGGTATTAGACTAAGTGTATTTGATACACTCTCTGGATGAATCCTCACAATTCCCCTGTACATATGTTATCTCCATTTCAAAGATGAAGAAATTGAGGCTTAGACTATTTCATCTGTTTACTTAAGATCAAGAAGCTAGGAAACCTAAGTAGGATTGTAGTCTGTTTGGTTCAACTGCATAAGTTATATGCTGGGCATTTAAGGAATTTTCGTCTTGTGTGTTTTCTATCATTTTCATGATGATTATTACCAGGGACCAAATATTATTCCTGACAGACATTTTTCTAGCTTCCTCAAAATGAATTTATGTAACTATTACATTGCATCAGTATAATAAAAACATGTCAAATATAATCTCACCTGAGAATGCTCATCTAAGTTGTCGAGTTTTTTTAGTTTTTGTCTTACTTGAGATATGGTCCCTGATATATCACCCAGCTCTGCTTGTTGGTTTAAGAGCTGTTCAATTTCAGTCACAAGCTAAACGGGAAATAAACAAGTTTCAAAAACAAACAAATGTTTAAGCGTTTTCATTTTAGAGTCTAGATTGTACATAATACTATTAAAAATGATTATCAGTATGGAAAATTACATATCTAGAAAGAAATGTTCAGTTATTGTAGTCACAATAATAAAAACCATGTGCTAACATTTCAACCTCCATGACATCAGTGTGAACTCATGATTTCTAAAATATGAGTATGTGTGTGCGTGTATAAACGGACATGCATGTATAAATGGACATGTTTGCATGTACATGCATGTGTAAATTGACATGCACTTGTGTGTATATATTCATGAAAGCATCTACATGTGTGTATACATGTAACTATAATCCCCAGATTTATGGTGAATGAGCCTAAAAGTAAAGACCCCTCCAAGAACAATGAGCACAGCTGATACCTAGATTGTGGTTTTATTTTAATACCAGCTCCCAGAAAATGACACCAGACCACCTCAAAAAGATGGCTGATTCCAGAGCTGAGGCAGTGTAAGTACAAGATGAGCTTAGAAAGTCTCTTTATGCCACAAAAAATACAAAAGAAAGAAAGAAATGCTAGGACAGATCACAGGGACACAGTGGTGGTGGGGGGTGGGGGGGGCGGGAGCTGTCGAGTCATTTCCAACTCACAGCAACCCTGAATAGGGTTTCCGAGGCTGTAAATCTTAAGAGGTACAGAAAGCCTCATCTTTCTCCCATGGAGCAGCTGGTAGACTCAAACTGTTGACCTTACAGTTTGCAGCCCAGCTCATAACCCACGACGCTACCAGAGCTCCTTAAGGACACAGGGTCGTTGGTTTTGTTAAGTGCCATCAAGTCGTTTCCAACTCCTCACAACCCTGTTTCTGAGGAGCAGCTGGTGAGTTTGAACCACCGACCTGGCAGTTCAAACCAACCTTGCCATCCAGGACTTGTCTGACCGCGTTACACCAGGAGGCCAAGGATACAGTTTGTTGTTGTTGTTAAGTGCTGTCGAGTTGTTTCAGCCCATAGCAACCCTGTATAGGATTTCCGAGGAGCTGCTGGTGAACTTGAACCACTGACCTTGTGGATCAAACCAACTTTGCAGGCCAGCGCATAAACCCACAGCGCCATAGCCAAGGTGGCCAACCTGAAATGCCAAAACTCATCCAGAACAGCAATGAATTATCAACAACTCAAAATACTGGAATCCATGAATCTAGTAAGTAGCTTTGAAAATCTTAATAAGTAGCTTTTTAAATCTGAGAAGGCTTCAAAAGGTTCATGGAAAAACGGCAATACAAGATCATGGAATATTGCACAAACTTTTTGAAGCCCCCTTTGTAAATGGAGAAAGGGGGGATTCTTGCTACTTATACCAGAATGGCTCGTAGCAACTGCTGAATGTGGAGGGAATGCTTGTGTTGGGAAATCAGTCATGATACAAAAGACTAAGAGCTCTGGTAGCGTAGTGGTTACGAGCCAGGCTGCTAATCTCAAGGCAAACAGTTCTAAACTAGCAGCTGTCCCATGGGAGAAATATGAGGAGGCTTTGTGCTCCCGTAGAGATTTGCTATAGGGTCGCTATGAGTCAGAACCGACTCCACTGCATACCACCACCATAGGAAAGACTGACTGAGGCAATGATGCTAAATTCACAGGGAAATGTGAATACAGAACAGGACACTGGGAGGAGGCTTCAAAAGTTCATGGGAAAAATTATCTTTGAATTCCATTTTTCCACCAACGTTTTGAAGCACCCTCATATTTACATGGCCTTCAATTTTATCCCCACATATTTCCTGTTAGCTACAAGGGAGGAAAAACAGTAACTCTATTCAACCATGCCTGACTTGGGCGATCAGAATTAAATTAATGAGGGTCAGGTGAATACAAACTGAGTAGGGCATATGACTTATGTAACAGTCTAGTTGGTCACACACAGAGAAGATGTCAGACGAACCCAAAATAAAAGAACATTCACTTTAAAAAAATAAAAATACTGTTTTCTTCAAAGATGTCCACAGCATAAAAGTCAAAGAAAAACAGCTGAGGACCCTACACTCGTGGAAAGAGATAAGGCTGTGAGCTGGCGCTTGTTGTTTAAATGATTATATATTCCTGAGTATTTCTGTGTACACCCAAAAAAAGAAACAAAAAAACAAAACAGAGGGAACAGAAACAAATACTGTTGGATGACGATGCACGGAGGGGATTGGAATCATTGCAATGAAACAAAATAAGACAGGATGAGTGTAAAACCGATGTTCTCCCATGTAAACTATCACTCAATTCACAATAAAAACTTAAAAAAAAAAAAATGCCAAAGAGAGATTCTGGAAATATTCCTGACTAAATGTAGACTGGGTCTTGTGGCGGAGGAAAAAAGAACAACTGTAAAGGGTTAACTGACTAAACCAGAATACTGATGGCAGATAACACAAGAGGGCTTTCAAAAGTTCGTGGAAAATGAAATTAAAAGATAATGGATCAAAGGGAGAGCAGAGAGCAGGATCCTACCCAGAGAAACAGTGATGCCAGAGATGGAGGCAGAGATGATGACGTGGAGAGATGAAGGGGCTGGGAACTCTAGACCCAGAGAGGGAGAGTTGCTGTGTGCTGATGACCGGGGGACAGGCTTGCAGGGTATACCATTTGGTTGGTTGATGCTGCATGAAGGGGATTGTAACCACGGCAATGTAATGATATACGATAGGATGAATGCAAAGCTAATGTTCACCCATGTAAACTATCACATAATTCACAATAAAACAGTTTAAAAAAAAAAAAAGATAATGGATCACAATAAAATATTTTTAAAAAGAAGAGACTTTGTAATACATTTTTTGAAGTTCCGTTGTATAAAAGCAGTACATCGATATTACTTTGATTGGATTTAAGAACGGTACTGTGGTTATTTAAGAGGATGTCCCTATTAGTAAGAAATACTTGAGGTATTTAGGGGGAAAGGGCCATCATATATGCAACTTACTCTCAAATGGGTCAGAAGAAAATATAATCTGCATGTATTTCAGGGGGGTTCAGAAAGTTCTTGGAAAAATGGAGTTAAAAGATAGCGAATCTTTTTCACAAACTTTTTGAAAACCCTTTGTATCTATAACTTACAAATGTCTTCACTTACCTCTTGAAAATCCTGTTCAAACTTCCACAGTTGAAGATACTGCTCCATTTTTTGTTGGTGTTTTCCCCAAAATCCATCAAAGGCTGTTTCCATATCATGTACCTGAGTCAGCAACCTTGACACAAAAAATCAAGTAGCACCTTCAAAACAATGACTTGTGTCATAGGTCTGCAGGAAAATCTGCTCTGACCATTCAGTTTTCGAGAAAACTTTCAACAAAGTTTTAGCCCCTGCTACTTGAGTCCTGGAAGGGACTCTGGTAGTGTAGTGGTTACGAATTGGGCTGCGAACTGCAAGGTCAGCAGTTCGAAACTACCAGTGGTTCCGCGGGAGAAACATGAGGCTTTCTGCTCCCATAAAGATTTACAGCCTCGGAAACCCTGTATAGGGTCGCTATGAGTCAGAACCGACTCCATGGCACATAACAACAACAACAACTTGAGTCCTGGTGTGGCGCTGTGGGCTAATGTGTCAGACTGCAAAATTGGTCTGAACTGCAAGGTTGGTGGTTCAAGCTCACCAGCTGCTTCTTGGGAACCCTATACAGAGTTGCTATGGGTCGGAATCAACTCAACTGCGCTTAACAACAACACTTGATTCAGGGAGCGCGGTGGCTCTGGATGATATGCACTGGACTGAAAACTACAGTGTCAGTAGTTCAAGACTGTCAGCTGCTCCACAGGAGAAAGACAAGGCTTTTCACTCCTGCAAAGATTTACAGCCTTGGAAACCCTATACAAGGTTACTATGAGTTCGAACCGACTTGATGGCAGTAAACAATACCTTGATTCAAGTAGAGCCCATCAATGTCCCCCAAACTTCTTCCACAATCTTATCTAAGTGGAATATAACTCAGAAAGGACTCTCAGATTCTCAGAAGTCCAGGAAATAGTCACAAATCACAGGAGCAAGAATGGATAAATTCCTCTCAAAACCATTAAGTCACCAGAAATCAAACTGGTAATACTCACTTTTTGATAGTCTGCCAGTCACCACTTATTTGCTGATGACGTTCAAGTCTTGAACTGGCAGTTTCTTCAATGGCAGGTGCTTCCAGATTTGTTAGCAGCACTGTCCCTTCTTTGGTAACAGCTGTAATATTGTTCTGTACAAATGCAAATTAGGATGCATCAGGCATCAGGAGTCTTATGCAAACAAGGATGGCCAAAGCCATCTCCACAAGTGCTTTGGGACTCTGTGACACCAAGGTATTCCTTGATTTTTCAGACAATGATGAAACCAAAGGCTGTTCTAGAATCCCTTGCTCCTCTTCTGCAGGTACCTAAGAGTAGTCTAAAACCTCATTTAGGAGGTCTACTGGTCCCCTGAAGGATCCCTGGTAGCGTAGTGAATTATGAGCTGGGCAGCTAACTGCAAGGTCAGCAGTTCGAATCTACCAGCCACTTCATGGGAGAAAGATCAGGCTTTCTGCTCCCATAAAGATTTGCAGCCTCAGAAACCCTATACAGGGTTACTATGAGCCAGAAATGACTCAAAAGCACACAACTACCACCACCACCACTGGCCTCCTGAAATTCTCAGCAAAAAATTGGCTGTACATATATTTTTTTCTGGAAAGAGCTTCCATGATAACTATAAGAACATTAAGAGTTAATATTTGTTAAATATCAATTACGTGCAAAGCAGTGTCACATATACATCACATACTTTACGTCATTGCATCCTCACAGCAACCCTACAAGGCATGCATGCAGCACCAGCATCATCGATCTCTTTGTGCAAAAACAAACCAAACCCGTTGCCATGGAGTCAATTCCAACTCATGGCAATCGCACGAGTTACAGTGCAGAACTTCTTCAGAGTGTTTTCTTGGCAGTCATCTTTCCTAAAGCAGTTTGCCTGGCATTTCTCCCATGGTGCCAGTGGGTGGGTTTAAACTGACACTCTTCAGGTTAATGTTGTTGTTGTTAGGAGTTGCTGAGTCGGTTCCGACCCATAGCAACACTCTATAGGGTTTCCAAGGAACGGCTAGAGGGCTTGAACTGCCAACCTTGAAATTCAAACCAACATTATAGTCCAGCATATTAACCCACAGCGCCACACCAAGACTCCCTTTAGGTTAATGGGGGTGGTGGTGGTGTGCCATGGAGTTGGTTCCAACTCATAGTGACCCTGTATAGGGTTTCCGAGGCTGTAAATCTTTACAGGAACAGAAAACCTCATCTTTCTCCCACAGAGCAGCTGGTAGATTTGAACTGCCGACCTTTAGGTTAACAGCCCGACTCATAACCACTACGCTACAGAGCACAAATGGTTTGTGCCATCTAGGAACTAACTTCAAGGTACAGATAAGGAAAAAAAAATCTCAGAGAAGATAGGCAAATTGCCGACCATCACCGAGTTTGCCCTCTTACACAGTTTTGCTTTTAGATGGGATTAAACATGTCAGTGTCTCTACTCTTCTGCCTCTCTGTAAGTACACCCAGGATACCTATCATCATCTAAAGGAGAGGAGTTTCATATGGTGTTCATTTATATTGGTCTTTAACACTTAACAAAAGGGAATACAGCTATACATGCTAATTGTCTCAAACCTGCCTCGGAATCCTCTACAACCCCACACTCCAGATACCGACAAGTAGGAGCTCTGGTGTCGATCCTGACAGAGCTGGGACCAGAACACAGGCCTCCTGATTCCTGATCAAGTTTTCCTTCTCCCATTCCACACTGTACCTAGGGTGGAAGTCAAAATAGGACACCTATCTGGCAGCTAGCCCTCACTCGGCCTTTTTCAAATAAACTAGAGAATAAGGGATCCTGGTGGTGCAGTGGAGAAACATTAGGCTGCTAACCAAAGGATTGCTGGGTCAAACTCACCAGCCACTCTGTGGGAGAAAAGACCTGGATATCTGCTCCCATAAGGATTACAGCCTTGGAAATACTATGAGGCGCTTCTACTCTACCCTACAGGATCACTATGAGTTAGATACCCATAGACGGTACATAGAAGCAACGGCGACAAAAGAGAAGACATGGGAACAGAAACAACTGTGGATTTCTGATTCTGGAGCATTTATAAAGTTTTCGATTTACAGATAAATGATCCCACAAGCGAATGACCCATTGACAAAGGGGACGCTTAGAGCCAACCTATCCAGAAGATTTTCCTCTTGTAAAGTATTCTCTTTATGTATATATGGAGTCCTGGTGCGGCGCTGTGGGCTAATGCACCAGTCTGCAAAGTCGTTTGAACTGCAAGGTCGGTGGTTCAAGCTCACCAGCTGCTCCTTGGAAACCCTATGCAGGGTCACTATGGGTCAGAATTGACTCGATGGCACTTAACAACAACATATATATATATATGGTGATTGGTGGTTATGTGCCATGGAGTTGGTTCCGACTCATAGCGACCCTGTACAGGGTTTCCGAGGCTGTAAATCTTTACGGGAGCAGAAAGCCTCATCTTTCTCCCGCGGAACAGCTGGTAGTTTCGAACTGTTGACCTTGCGGTTCACAGCGCAATTTGTAACCATTATGCTACCAGAGCTTCTTCATATATATATATATATATATATATATATATCTTGCTTTGTAATATAGAAAGATCTTTTGTCTCTCCATATGACAATCAGTGTTAAATGAACACATTTAAAAACTTCTCTAGAAAAAGGAAGATGCTGGCCAACTAATGTGGGTCCACTTGCTCAGACTTACCTTCAGCAGGTGGTACCTTTCAGCACGGATGGCAAGAATCTCCTCAATTGCAGGAATGTCATCTGGTAGTTCTGTCTCAGCCAATTCAGTCCCAAAGGACTGCAACATCTGAGCCATTTCCTTCACTGTTAGGGCAAATTTTTCTATAGCCTGCAAAAGGTCGGCGAGCATTTTAATTCTTTGGTAAGTCAGTCACCATAGCAAAACCTGGATCAGTCATTGCATTTATTTTATTTAGGTATGACAACAAACATATCCTATGAAGTCTCCTGTGCTAAGGAAATTTGGCATTGCCTTTGGCAATCAACTTGAACTTTGCATCTAGTCTGCTGAGAAACCAAAGTAAGGGCAAGATTCGGAATGCCTTTTATCTAAAATTCTGTACTTAGTTCATGGACACTAATGAAAAGCATTTCTCAAAGATTCCATGGGCAGAGTATATATGGAAACCATAGTATTCTCCTTATTTTATTAAACTCTGCAGCTGAAAAAAGCACCTTATAACAACTTGACTTTGAAGACAGATGAAAACATCAAAGCCACTTTATATTTATTCATTCTCATTTGTAAACAAGCATCAGCATTTCAAACAAGGTAATGGACTAAGGAGATTGGGGAGCAACCACTCATGTTGGGGATCATGGTCTCAAAGGCTCTGTTGCCTAAAGTCAAGCCCAGTGTTGTTTCTTTTGTCTCAGAATTGATGGCTCACAGAAAGAAGGACAAAGTACCAGACCACATGAACCCTCTATGTATGATGCAGATCAAGATAGCTGCTTTTTTTTTTTTTTAGTTGCTATATAGGTTATTAAAGGAGCTCTGGTAGCGTAGTGGTTACGAATCGGGCTGCGAACCTCAGGGTCAGCAGTTCGAAACTACTACCTGTTCCGCGGGAGAAAGATGAGGCGTTCTGCTCCCGTAAAGATTTACAGCCTCGGAAACCCTATATAGGGTCGCTATGAGTCAGAATCGACTCCACGGCACATAACAACAACAACAATATAGGTTATTAACAACTGTTGTTAGGTGCTGTCAAGTTAATTTCGACTCATGGCAATCCCATGTGACAGAGTCAAAATACAGAACTAGCCCAACCTCGGAAACTCTCTATAGGGTCGCTAAGAGTTATAAACCAACTAGACAGCATTGAACAACAATCTCTATGGGAGCAGATCACCAGGTCTTTTTCCCACGGGGCTGCTGGGTGGGTTCAAACAGTCAACCTTTCAGTTAGCAGTCGAGTGCTTAATGCTTATGCCACCTTCATATGAATGGATAGGATTGTTGAATGAGGACTATGATAAAAAGAATCCTTATTTAAACAAACATCAAAAACTCCTCAGAAAGGTTCCCATATCTCTGGCTATTATTGATAACAGGCTATTATTATTGAGGGCTTGCAACATGCCAGGCAGAGGTGTGTCCAAGGTATGGTAGTTATGACACCAGCCCTTGGTACTTGAAGAAGGGTACCAAGTGAGCAGTTTCTATTAACCTGGTATGGTCCAATATCCTACCCTGGGGCACATGTCCAAGGGGGTGACAGATGAGGTATGGAATGACACACATGAAAGGCGCCCTGATTGACACAACTGGACAAGAAGACAGAAGGCGTTTCTGTTGGCACGTTGCCACCAACAATCTATTCATCTTGCGTTTGTGAATTACAGCTTAAGCGAGTGCTCTGGGCTCTCATTATTCTCACTATGCCCCTAATGCCAGACACTGTGCAAACATTTTATATTTGCAATCTCCTTTAATGTTCCCAAGACCCTTATGCGGCAAGGCATTATTATTTCCATTAAACTAAGACTTAGAGAGCTTTTCTATCTTGTCCACCAGTGTCAAGATTTGAGCCCAAATCCCTCGTAAGTTAGTTGACTCTAGAGTTACGGGAGGGGTTGGGTAAAGCATGACCACCCTGGATGTCAACGTCACTTGGCATCTTTAATGACTCTTCAGCCTTCCAAGATATTTCAAATGTGAAAAATTCAAGATGCCAAATTACATATGTATTGGGAAAGTAGGAGCCCCAGAAACGTGTTTTTCCCAAGGAGGAACCTGATCTCAGATTCAATTGACAGGCTAACATGAACGAAAGTCTCTACGGTAAGGGCAAAGGCAACATACATTTCTGAAGATGATCCATTCACTGTGGCAGTACTGCAAGGTGCCGCCTAACTCAGGGGTTAACTGCTTGTCATCAATGTATGTCAGCAAATCACTAACTGAGCTCAGCATAACCACCTATATAAAGAAGCAAGAAAGATGCTGTGAACTGTCCTTCATGCCATCCCTTCGTCCACCTGCACATTGCACTTTTGTCAACAGAATAAATGACCCTTCATAAATGCTTTGAACACTTCTCTCCTGTACCTCCCCCACAAATCAGTCTGTGCTACCTTCTTCAGATAATAACAGTTTTCATTTACAAAACCAGTGCTCTGTAAAGCAATATTAATCTCCATAGAAACCAAAACACCTGCAAAACAGCTATGTCCACACTGCAGTGAAAGGACATGGTGTTGTGTTATAATTTAGCGGACAGTATCCGAATTTGTAAGTATCAAAAGTTAGAAGCGCTGAATTTCTAACTCTCTAAATGCATTAACAAATCTTTTCAAAAACAACATGGTACTCTGGTACTTTGAACTAGTTCAGGATGTCAGTTCATAGGAGCTTAAATGTTCAAAAATATACAATGCATACACATTTTTACTTAAAAGAAAAAAAAAATCCTGAGAGAGGTTTCTTGATACGTGAGTGCACACACACACACATACATAATGTATGCACACATATATAAATAAAACATATATGTGATATATATAGATATATAGATATATATATATATACTTTTCTAAAGGAATTGCTTTGCTCCAAATGGATTAATCTGTTCTTGGTTAATAATGATGTGAAACTATTTTTACACTAGAAACAGAAGTCTTCCAGGCATTTCAAATTTACATTCCGGGAAGACATATTTTTTTTTTCTTCTTTCAAATGCTTAGGTTGCTGTTGTTAGTGCTGTTGAGTTTGGTTCCAACTCACAATGACCCTGTATAGAGTTTCCAAGGAGCAACTGGTGGGTTTGAACTGCCAACTTTGTGGTCATCAGTCTAGTGCTGAACTTACAGCGCCACACCAGGACCCCATGTAGAAGACCAGCAGCATGATACAAAGACCTCATGAGAATTAAGGAACAAAACATTTAAATAGTATATGCTTACTGGCAATTTGAGCATGAAGTCCTCCTGGCTAAATCGAAACCCAATGTCTGTGAAAGTTCGTTGAAGAAAACTGGTGGGACGTAGAACCAAAACCAAGTGCAAGTTCCCAGGGAAGGAAGCCTATAGGAAGAAAGAAAGAAAAGAAAAACACATTTTTTTCCCTCAAAGCACACATTCGATGGAGCACAGATCAGAAAAAAATGGAATGAAAAGAAAACAATTCAAAGTCATAAAACCCACTTAAAGGTCAACACAATGAAAATAGGTATTGATACGATCTTAAAACGCAGAAATAAAAATGAAAATCATGTAAGGTCATCAAGGTCAGATTCTTGCAGAGCTTCTAGCATGGGATTTTCTCACAGTGGATTAAGTTCATCCCATGTTATAAAAATTCTACCCTGAAGTTTCATTAGAAAGTTGGTTCTTTGAACTCAAACTGTATTTACTTCCAGAAAAATAAAATCGAATTAGGAGGTAGGTTCCGACAATAGTGCTAAAAGCCATGAGAAAACTAAAATCCTGTATGCTTGCACTAACAATGGAAAAAATCTGTATTATGGAATCATATTTCTGTTTTCAACCAAGCAGGCTCTTCAGTGTATTTAAATGAATTACTATCAGACACTGGTAGACAGTGAGTGTACACCAATGAAAATATACATGGGGCTTCGAAAAGTCTGTAGAAGAATGGAATGAAAAGCTAGTGGAATGTTTTCATGAGCTTTTTGAAGCCCCACTGTAGTCCCTAACAGAACCGAGCAATGCTTCATTCTGCTATGCATAAGGTCCCCATGAATTGGAGCTGGCTCAACAAAAACTAACACCCAGTACAACAGTTTAATAGCAGAGTCCACTAGGAATCAATAGCACAGTGTAATAATTTGACAAGTGAAACAAATGAATGTGAATAAGATACGAGAGAAAGAGGTAGCACAGAGTTTTCTAGGTTTGTTGTTGTCGCTGTTAAATGCCATCAAGTCGGTTCCAACCCAGAGCAACCCCATATGGGCTTTCAAGGAGTGGCTGATGAGCTTGAACTGCCAACCTTGAGGTTCAAACTGACTTCGCAGTCCAGCGCATTAACCCACCGCACCACACAGGGAGGTGAAAAAGGAGACATTAATTGAATCAGATTGTCATTCCAGTTCACCAATGGCTTCTAGGAAATGGCCTGGCACATAGTAGGCAGGCAAGAAATAACTGCTAAATGAAAGAATTCAAATGAAACACTGCAAAATTGGTATACCATTGGCTGATATTAATAATAAACTACCACCCATCAAATGTTTACTCTAGGTTAACTATTTGGTCAACATTATCACAGCTCCTCTTCATAACCATCCTATGAAGTAGTTTAGTTACTGCACTATGAGACTGTCAGAGAAGATGTCTCAGTCAGGGGTAGAGGAAAACAAATCTGGGGGTGGGGGACATATCATAGGAGATGGTGCTAGAAAGACAGACGAGCAGGAGCCAGATCACAAAAGACCTTGCAAGGCCTGCTGAGAAGTTTGGAACTCTTCTTGGAGACTAGGGGAGTCTCTAGAAAGTTTGAAGCAGAGCACCACGGTCTGATTTGGGTGACTTTGTGGGGAAAGGACTGGATTTGGACAAACGTCAAGCAGATAGAAGAGAAAGGAGACTGATAGAGTAACCCAGGCCAGGGATGGTTAGCTTTGAACTAACCACTACAGAGATGGGGGTGGTGAGGGATTTGATGATCACTCTGCACATTTCTGGGTTTCGTAACTAGGTGACTGGTACAGCCCTCACCAAGATTGGGGACATGAGAGAAGCAGGCGTAAGGAGAGAGATGCAAAAAGGAAACAACCGGTTGCCATTGATTCGTAATCATGGCAAGCCCATGTGTGTTAGAGCAGAGCTGCATTTCATAGGGTCTTCAATGGCTGATTTTTGGAAGTAGATCGCCAAGCCTCTGGGTGGATTCGAACCTCCAAGCTTTGGGTGCATTTTTGTTGACACTCACCAGGGACAAAAAAAGGAGAATGCGATTCAGATTTCCATTTGGAACGTGTTGGGTTGGAAGATTCAGCAGGCAACTCAGATGAGATCTATCAGATAACTGTGGGTACAAACAAGTCTAACCTAGGAATGTAGCTTCAGGTGAAACAAACTGAAACAAAAAGTAGTGAAATTTTTTCAAATTCTGTTATCTTTCAATCATGCTGCAATAGTAGTCATTGAACAAAGCAATGAAAAAAAAAAGGTCAGTGGTTCAAGCCCACCAGCCATTCAGCAGGAGAAAGATGAAGCTTTCTGCTCCTGAAAGGATGTACACCCTCAGAAACCCTGTGCAGAGTCCCTAGGAATCTGAACCAACTCGACGGCACCTAACAACACCACCACCAACATAAAACAAAAATATTAACAGGATTTTGGGGTGTATTTGTTTGTTTTTTAAATTTACCTCACATTCTTGGACCCAAGAACAAGCAGGTTTAGGTAGAGAAGATTAAGATGAGTAAAGGCTTACTGTGGGGAAGACTCTGAACAGGACTCAGAAGTCTGAGCCCATATTTTGGTTGTGAGCACTGGTTCTAACTATTTCTCTCATCCACTTTGGGAATTAAGCTTTTTCTTTTGTTGCACATGGGTGAGTAACTGCACTATTATAATACTTCCCGCAATTACTTTTATTCTTCCATGAATTCTAAGTTGGTCTGCTCTCCCAGGCTTTCTCCCTCTGCCCTTCAAAGTACCTCCTTCTCGGGATTTCATACTCTCCAGCATTGAAGGTTAGAAACCCTCCAGATGCAAGGCCAACTCAAAGCCCATCTCTAAAATTAGGGGGGGGACCAAAGGATGCTACAGCAACAAGGGATTTGTATGCCAACTGTCTGCCAAAGTGACCCTCTGGTTTCTACTCTGCTATTTCCAGGACACCACGGCCGCTGACTCATAGTGACCCTATAGGATAGAGGTTATGACTCTAGGACATAAGGTTTCCAAGGCTGCCGGTGGATTCAAACCATCAACCTTTTGGTTAGCAGCCCAATGCTTAACCCACTGCGCCACATGATCACATCCACCCCACCACCCACTGCCATTGAGTCGATACCAAGTCACAGCAACCCTACATAGGACAGAGTAGAACTGCTCCAATGGGTTTTGAAGGCGAAATTTGGGCGCAAACTGCCTCATCTTTCTCCTGCGGAACAACTGGTAGGTTCAAACCACCAACTTGGCAGTTAACATTCCACTGCTTAACCATCTGTGTCACCTAGTCTCCTTACATGATCATACAGCAGGGAACAAAAAGGCCAGAGAAACTCAATCACAAGTCATATAATCAGTAGGGAAGGGAGTTTCAAGGAGGGGGTGAGGGTATTCAGCCTATCCTGAGTCAGGGATTTTAGGTTGGACCTTTTTGAAAGCAATAACTGCTTTGATTTGATAAAGTGCTTTATCCCAAATATGGAAAGCTTTACAAATTGCTTCTAAAGATAATTCTACCTTCTAATAAGATCATTGTGAAATAAAATCTTCTAACTATTTTATCATACATGCTCCATCCTTAATTCCTTCAAAATGTTTCATCATTCATTTGTCACCCAAAGCCCATAAAAATTTGCATTTTTGGAGAGCAAGTTTCAGAGTCTCTTCTGACATTCATTCTGACCTTTTCCTTCTTTCTTGTCTTCTTAATGACTTTTTGCTCTCTTCACATATGATGTTCTTGATGTCATCCCATAACTCTTCTGGTCTTCGGGCTTTAGTGTTTAATGTATCAAATCTGTTCTTCAGATGATCTCTAATTCAGGTGGAATATATATATATATATATATATATAGAGAGAGAGAGAGAGAGAGAGAGAGAGAGAGAGAGAGAGAGAGAGAGAGCGCTCTGGTAGTGTAGTGGTTACGAAGCGGGCTGTGAACTGCAAGGTTAGCAGTTCGAAACTCCCAGCTGCTCCATGGGAGAAAGATGAGGCTTTCTGCTCCCATAAAGATTTACAGCCTCAGAAACCCTGTGCAGGGTCGCTGTGAGTTGGAACCGACTCCACGGCACATAACAACATGTTTTTATATATATATCCTCCCCCCCCTTTTAGGATGGGTTCTTTTTCTTAGTCTTTTACAGTGATGGTCCTATGCAGTGTTTCTCCTTTTGTGACTGACAAATTTCTCTCAGCATAATGTCCTCAAGGGACCCTGACCAGGGACGTGGTGACCCCAGAAATGGAGGCAGGGACCATGGGGTGGACAGATGAAGCGGCTGGGGATGCTGGACTAAGGGAGGGAGAGGGTCTGTGGGGTGTACCCTTTGGTTGTTTGATGATGCCTGAAAGGGATTGTAATCATTGCAATGAAACAAAATACAATAGGATGAATGTAAAACTGATGTTCTCTGATGTAAACCCACATAATTAGCAATAAAAACTTTAAAAAGAAAAATATTTTTGCATTTTTCAGGAGAATTTCACTTAATGCCTGTGTAATTACATTTACAATGCTTTTCATTTTAGGATAATTTTAGAATCTTTATTGAACTACCAAGCATATTATCATGAACATGGATTCTTTTCATCCAATCGCTGCTCTCAAATTTAGAAGCCATTTGGGGGAGTTGTAGACCACAGCTATACAACTAATAAACAATTGGGTGGCATACAAACACTTCATTTAATTTTGCAAAGTTCTACTGAAAACAAAACAAAACAATATCATCAAGTTTAGACCACAAATACGGTTTCAATAATAAAGGCCCATGACAACCACAAGTGAATTCAATGTCCTAGATTTATCAATCCCAGATCCATTCACTTAGCCCAGGCCTAACTCACAGGTGCTTGCCAAACATGAAAGATTACTTTTCATACCTTTTCTTCTGCAAAACTAAAATCATAAGGTGAGGCAGGTAGATTGGAGAGTTGGGTAGGGGCAGGAAAGTTGCTAATATTTTGTTGTTGTTGTTATTGGGTACTGATGAGTCGGTTCCGACTCACAGCTGCCCTGTGCACACAAAATGAAGCGCTGCTCAGTCCTGCACCATCCTAAAAATGGTTATTATGCTTGAGCCCATTATTGCTGCCATTGTGCCAATCCATCTTGTCAGTTTCCCTCCACTTTGCCAAGCATGATGCCTTTCTCCAGGGA